TGAAGAAATGCTTGCAATCAACAACCATTAAAGAGACACAAATCAAAACTACAATGAGATACCATCTCACCCTGACAATAATGGCACTAATCAAAAAAAGAAAATAAGAAATGGTGGTGAGGTTGTGCAGATATGGAACTGTTATACACCGCTGGTAGGAATATAAAATGGTACTATGTAAAACGGTATGGAAATTGCTTTAGAAGTTAGAAATATAAATACCATATGATCCAGCAATCCCACTTCTAGGTATCTGCCTTAAAGAAATGAGAGCCTGAAACAGACATATGCACACCCCTGTTCACTGTAGCATTAGTCACAATAGCAAAAAGATGGCAAAACTTAAGCACCCATCAATGGATGAACGGATGAACAAACTGTGCTACATACACACAATGGGATACTGTACAGTGAGTGAAATGAGTCCATCATAAAAGGAAAATTATTGTATGAGGCCAATATTGTTATTAAATAATAATAATAATAAATGTTTACACATAGGGAAAAAAAGTTCTTCAATGGTTACCAGGGATGGGAGGCGGACAGAGGGAAAATGATGAGCTCGATAGAATATTAATAATGGTTAAGGGAAAGGCAATACACAATAAAGGGAAAGTCAGCACAACGTGACCAACGCAGTGGAAGCCACTGAGAGCAACGCAAGAATAAGGCGCAGTTAGGGTAATTACTGGGACACAGACAATCCTGCCACAACCCTATTAACAAATGATGGCGGATGAATGGAGACCTAGGTAGATGAAGGCAGACATAGGTAGATAAAGAGGTATCTTTAAGGGACGGTGGAAGGGAGCACCCAGACCTGCAGACACGGCTGTGGTTATGAGCATTTCTACATACGTAACTGGAGGAGCTGCATGTATGGTCATATAGATAATAGAGCACACAAGGGGTGCAGTCATGGACGCTTCTCAGACAGAACCAGGCACCTTGCAGGATGAAACCCCTGCACTCTAAGGTGAAGGACCACAGGCCGGCGAACATCTGTGTCAACTGGCACAACACAGCTTATAAAGACAATGTTCTTGTCCTACTTTGGTGAGTGGTGCCTGGGGTTTTCAAAGCTTGTGAGTGGTCATCTAAGGTGCAGCTATTGGTCTCTTCCCATGCAGAGCAAAGGAGGGTAAAGAAAACAAGGACTCAAGGGGGCAATTAGTCTAAAGGACTAAAAGACCCTGGCCTACAGGGCCCTGAGACAGAGGAACTAGATGGTGCCTGGCTACCACTACCACCCACTGTGACTGAGCTCACAACGGAAGGTCCTGGACAGAGCAGGATAAAAACATAGAACAAAACCTCAAATTCCCAGTAAAGACCAGGCCTAATGGTCTGAGAGAGACTGGAGGAAGCCCTGAGATGCTGGCCCTAAGACACGCTTCTGACCTGGAACTGCAGCCATTCCTGCAGACCACCTTTCAGCCACACAACCGACAGGCCCATGAAATAAACAGTAACACCCAAGAGGAACATGTTCCATAGAGCAGCCAATTATAGGAGATCAAAAGGCCAACCTTTGCCCTAAAGCAAAGGTGAGAAGGCAGGAAGGGGCAGAAAATCCAGAGGAAAGGAAATGGGGGCCCAGGGCAGCAATGGGGAGAGCACTAACACACGTGGGGGATGCAGCCGACGCCATGGACACTATATACAAACTGTCAAACGGTGAAGGAATTGCTCTGCAAACTTTGACCGAAAGCAAAATAAAATATTGAGAAACAAACAAAAAACCAAAACATCACCACACATTTCAAACTGTTGTACCTCTGCACTTAGCTACTTTATCCACATGCAAAAGCTCACACAGCACACCCCAGTGCAAGCTGCCTGGCATGGGCAGTGAGGTCCACAAGAGCAGGGGCAAAGTGGCTAGGTGTGTGTCTGCCAGCCTTGGGGATTCCCTGGGCTCAGTGGGTGCAGCTCACCACGTCTATAACCAGGAGACAATTAGGACAAGAACTGACATCACTCCTATGGTTGGATTATGAATTCAGTTGGCCCCAGGCACTTTTGTCTCCATGGGCCCCTTCATCCATAAAGCAAACAAATATTTTAAAATATATTTTTATGACTCATTGACATAAAGATGGAGGTTATTCGGGTTGGACTATATTCACTTTTTCCCTTCTGATTTTGAAACATGGTGTAGGCTCCTAAAAGCACTGTGGTCCACAGGCCCAGTGCCCACTGCATCTGACTGCTGAGCTGGCTACGGTGGTGCCCTGAGGGTATGAAAGGACCCAAGTGTGTATTAGGGGTCCCTGAGTGCTACCCATGGTTAGGCACTGGGCTACGAACCAAAAGGACCCAGGGGTGCTGCACAAGAAATGCCTGGTGATCTGCTTCCATAAAGATTAAAGAGCCCCTGCCGTCTAGTCTACTCCGACTCGTAGCGATCTTATAGACAGAGCAGAAGTGCCCAATAGGGTTTCAAAGGCTGTCATCTTTATAGAAGCAGACTGCGACCTCATTCTCCCTGTGGAGTGGCCAGTGGGTTCGAACCACCAACCTTTCAATTAGCAACATCCTGCCAGTCTGAGCCTGGCATCCGGCTGCACAGGCGGATGGGCCCCCGCTTTCTGAGACTGTCTGGACATGAACAAGCTTTCACGCTCATCCTGGGGCTGGTTAACTCGGAACAGGCCACTCCTAAAGCACGCTGTGTTGGCTCCAGAGACACGCGGTCAAACGTTGAGCGCTGTCAAAGGCCTGCACGGCGCCGAAGAGCACGGTGTGAGCCCCTTAGGGAAGGGGGAACAGTGACAGCAGGGGCGGACGGGGGTGCAGGTTTATGAGCACCTGCGGGACATCACGCCTCAACAAGGGGCCTTATGCACAGTGCAATGCTGGGTGCACCATGAGATCCTTAGGCATCAGAGATCCCCCTCTGCGGGTGGGCAAGAAGGCTCAGAGAAGTGAGCCAAGAAGAGATGGAACCAGGGTTTGAAACCAGCATGGCTCCAGTGCCAGTGGACGTCCAAGGTCCCACATGGTCTGAGGGGCCTCTGTAACCTCCTTCAGGGAACCCTGTGCAAGGAGCCCCATGTGGAGACTGTCTTCCCTGGGTTTAGCTCGTGGGCTGGCTGCAGTTGTAAAAAGGAGCGGATGGACAGATGAAAGGAAGTGAGAGACGTGACAAGGAGTCTCTAGGTGGGACATTTGGAAGACAAAGTTTGCAGACAAGCGCTGCAGTTTGCAGAACCTGGTGGCTCTGCCCCCATGCAGAACTTACCTCGGAGGAAGTTGGCTTACAGTATCCAGCTCCGAAGACCAGGTTCTCCAGAGAGATGCTGGACTGCTCTGGGCCCCCATCGGGGCCACCTTTGCCAAGCCAGGAGCCTCTCCCCGGACGAGTGAAACTGAAGCAGAGAGGCGTGCAGAGAGGGAAGAAGGGTTAAGATGACAGCACATCAATGCAGTCTCCCTGGAAGGGAGGGCCCGAGTGGCACAAGCAGTTTGGGACTGACTGCTAACGTAAAGGATGGCAGTTTGAACTCACCCAGTGGTACCACGGAGGAAAGGCCAGATGATCTGCTTCCATACAGATTACAACCAGGAAGACCCTAGGAGCAGTTTCCCACTGTCACATGGGGCCACCATGAGTCAGAACCAACAGCAGCAGGTTTGGTTTTGGTTTAGAGGAGTGGCACCAGGGAGCCCAGAGAATATACCATGTGGAAGAAGTAGTTCACCCCCTTGGAGCTGTGGTGGTGCACTGCTTAAGTGCTTGGTTGCTAACCAAATGGTTGGCAGTTCAAATCCACCAGCTGCTCTGGGGCAAAGGTGTGGCAGCCTGCTTCTCTCAAGATTATAGACTTGGAAACCCTGTGGGACTGTTCTGCTCTGTCCTATAAGGTCTCTATAAATCAGTATCAACTTGAACGCAATGGTTTTTGTTTTTTCTTTTAGTTCATCCCTGAGGAGTTTCTATAAAGGGGAAGGAGCACATTTGGATGTCACAGTGACAAGGGGGTGCAACTGGCATGAAGCCTGGGAGCCATGGATGATACTCATCCTCCCATGTGTTTGGCGCTAAGAAGAAATGCTCACCCTAAATACCAGCACCACACCTGCCAAGGGACCAAGGTGCGGCTGCAGGCAGCGTGGGTGGGAGAGGCAGGTGGCGTGGGCTCTCAGCAAGGTGAGGCTCAGGCTGACAAGGTCTGAGTCCTGCCTCCACTGCTTACAGTGACATCGTCACAGTGAGTCCCTTCGGTCCCATGCCCCTGTACGTCTGTCTGTCTGCCTGTAGAAGAACATAAAATTGCATGTACCTGCACAGTTTACACAAGAGTCCAAGAGCACAATGGTGTCAAAGAGTGGCCACCATCTGTAGAACCCTCAAGGCACCAACGCTAACTGAGGGTACTACCTGTGAACATCCAGACCCTGCCGGCTCTGTGTGTCACCCTAAAGATGAACTGACCTGGCGCAACAGCAACTATCAAGTTTAGGATCAGTTGTGACTACGAAAGGCTCTGGGACCCTCTTGAACTCACCCAACTTGGGGCTACAGTCATCTTCTCTACCTTTGATATATTGGTGGAGTTTACTTATACTCAAGTGTTTTCCCTTTCTGTGATCTCTTATAGTAAACATCCTCACGGTTAATTGTTTTCTCATCCAGCGAACGCTGTTTTATTGAAACGTCTTATCCTCCCAGTGCTATTCAAAGTCCCTGATGGCAAAGAGTGTCTTGAGAAGTCTTTGGCCTCAGATGGCATCATTGCCATCACAGATGCTCAAGAAACAGCTCATCAAAGAGGGCCACATCCTCATTTAAAACATTGACAGAGAAACAAACTTTGCACTTTAATTCTGTTAAGTGCATTCATTAGATATTCATTAGCTGTATGCCACAGGGTGTGCATGTCTAAGGTGGCATGTTCCGGTCTAGAAAGGGAGACAGACAAAACAACCACAGGTATCATACAAGGGAGTTGAATGCTGCTCACCAGGCAGACATTGCTTACGAAAAGCAAAAAAAGTAGAGATGACTTTTAAGTGGAGTATGGCCAGGGGGATAAGAGGCAGGCCGTGAAGCATAAGAGGCAGGCCGTGAAGCCAGACTGCTTGGGTTTAAATCCTAGTCACCACCCATGGCTGTGGGGCATGTGGCAAGTTTCTTAACACCCCTCCCCCAGGGCCTGTGTTTTCTGGTGTGTTCCAGGGTGGATACTAGCACTTCAGTTCCCAGGCTGCGTGAGAACTCTATGAGGTAAGCCAGGTGTGGGGTCAGTGACGTACAAGCCAGCCTAAAGCGGCCTCGGAAGAAATGCCTGGTGATTTGCTGCTGAAAAGCCAGGCCCTGGAAGTCCCAGGAGCACAGTCCTGCTCTGCCCACGGGCTCATCAGGAGTCACAGTCCACTTGATGCAACAGGGATGTGGCAGTGTCCGGCTCACGGCAACGATTCAACAAGTGCTGGAGCTCTCGCAGAAAACACCCCAACTACTATCCTCATCATCGTTGTCCTTTTTTTTTTTTCCGTAGTTGGGATTTATTTAAAGCAATCTAAGATTTAGCTAGGAAATGGATAAAAGGAACATTCCAGAAAGGAAATTGAACATGGCTAAGAGGGCCATGAATAGAGACACTATGGCGCATTCAAGGGACAGGTTGCAAATTAATAACTAAAACAATGTGTTCTTCATTCATTGAATCCTGTGTGATCCTCAATTAACTTTTCTGGTGAATCTGAAGATCCCAGTTGAAATACAAGTGTGCCCATTTGAGGGGTAAACTTGGATTCTTTTATTCCTTCCGTCTATTTTGGTGCAGGGCTCTTTGAGGTTAAATTTGAATCCCACACCTGCTTCATACTGACAGGGTTTAAGTGATATTGCTAAAAACTGCTTTTCCAGAAAAGCTCCGGCTTGCCCTATTTGACAGGTGTTCCCACAGCCTAAAAGGCTTCCCCTTGCTCCCAGATCCTGGCAGCTCCCTGACAGAAATCGTTCCTGCTAAACCCAGAGATCAGAAGACAGTGCTATTTTTACCCCAGTCCGGGAGAAGCCTCTGCTCTTGTGAATTTCTCCCCAGGCTCCACCCTGGCAAAGACACTGCACACAAACCTGCAGGAGACAACTTCTTTGGAAAGGTTCACCTTTCAGCTCACAGGGTCCCTATCCCACGTTGCTCATGAGAAGATAATCAGGGCCTCCAGCGGCACAGGGGTGACACCTGCTTTCCCCGCCACACCCCTCACAGTAGCTGCCGAGCACTGGCACCGGAGCCTGGTCACCTCCTGCCTCCACTGGGCGGAATGTCCAGCTCAGCCCACTCACAGCCACCAGGGGGGTCGTCCCAAAACGCAGCTTTCACCAGGTTCCCGTCCTGCTCACTTTCCACGCTTCCCTCTTATATCGTGAGCAGGCTCGCAATTAATTCCGTAAGGCATCATTCATTGTCGTTATTGTCAGCCATCACTGACTCAGGCCCTGACTCATGGTGCCCCACGCATAATGGCCTAAGCCATGCCCATGACCGGCTGCGGATGAGACCGCTGGGATCCACAGGGTGTGCACTGCCCAATTTGCAGAAGGTGAGTGCCAGGCCCCTCCCTCCTAGATCATGTCGGTCTAGAAGCTCTGGTCACAGCAGTATGCAAGCCTCCACTGACAGACACGCCCATGAGGTGCCGGCTGGGGATCGAAGCCGGGTCTCCTGCATGCAGGGTGACAATTCTCCCCTGAACCACTAAGGCCTCCCACGCAATGATCCCTTTTCTCTCTCAGATTCACCTCACCCTTCCCTGGAACCCCACCCACTCTTTATGTCTGGGTGACACTTCTCAGTTTGGGGATCACAGTCCATCACACATACATCTGCCCCCTAATCCCTGCTAATCCTGACAGTCTCTGACCTTGCCCCATTGGCAAGTAGAGCCCCTGAGTGGAACCTGTAGACAGGCAAGGGACTGGTGCAGGCAACCACCGTGTGGGCAGCTCCCATGGTGACATCGTGTGGCCCAAGGCCGTGTACGTCAGTTCTCCCTCACCGACCCCAGCAGAGAACAGAGGCTCAGGCCACAGACAGCAGAGGCCCTGTCACACAGCTGGGGTGACTGGGGTCTCACTGACATGCATTTCAAGCCAGCCCTGAGAAGTATCCTCAGAGGAGACGCTGGGGACATTGGTCTTCCCCAGTGCCGTGCTTCACGATCCACCCCTGCACCCCCCCCCTGCACCCGTGCACCTCAGTGTACAGTCAGCGCCAGCAGGAGTATGTCTGCAGACCACAGTTCAAGGTGCCAGCTACACCCTCGCTGTAAGCCAGCACCTGTTGCTGGCATCGATTCTGACTCACGGCACCCCCATGTGCTCCATAGGGTTTCCATGTTTTTTTTTTTTTTTTTTTTAAGGCAATTAGCAGGACTTTCTTGCATGGCTCTCTGCTCTGGATGGCCTTGACCTGCCAAACTTACAGTGACCATCAAGCACCAGTAACCATTTGCACCACCTGGGGACCCTCAACATCTAAAAGTCACAAAACTCAGTGCTTCCCAGACTTGGAGGTGGTCGGGGACTGTTCACTGATTGGAAGGGGCACAGCACCTCACAGGTGGGCGTCTGCATCCAAACACACAGCAACTCGGGGGAGCTGGGGTCCCTACCATGGCCCAGCACTGTCCTTGCTTGAGACTCGCTAAAGTCCTCTGCAGGTGGGACACATCCATGTTCCTGTTTTAGATGGGGACACGTGGCTCAGCAACTCTAGATGACTTCTCAAATAACATGCAGCTACAAGGGACGGAGCCAGGTGTGGCATCCACATCTGCCAACCAACCTGTAGTGCGTGCGGTTCTGTGCCTCAGCCCCACACCGGGGTCCCCTGGATTCCTGCAGTCCTCTATGTACACTTACACATGCACACACATAACACACACACATACTTGCACACATGCCACATGTGTACTTACATACCACACACACACATCACACTCCACTCTACACACATACACACATTATACTCCCCCAGACACCACCCCCACTATACCACACACACACACCATGCATTCACACACCAGACACACAACAAACACATGCACACGTACCGCATATACACATACACACACACCCCACACAGTACATATGCACATACAAACACACACACATCACATAAACATGCATACACCCCATACTCCACACACACCCCACACTGTGCACATACCCCATACTTCTGCAGACAGCCCACACTGCACACACACCACACTGAAAACACATCACACACAGTACACACAAATGCATACACATCACATACACACATGCACATACCACACACAATACATATACACACATATTCTACACACATACACCCCATACTCCACACACACTACATTCCACACACACCCCACACTCCACACACATACCATACTACACACACATCACATATGCACACAGTCCACACACGTGTCGAAAACTAGTCTACACATACACACCATGCACTACATACATCTGACATGTGTACACACCTTACTACATACACATCACATATACACATGCCAAGCAAGCACACACACCACACATGCACATATATACCACACATGCACACATATATCACACATGCATGCACGCATCATGCATGCATACATACAATACTATACACATATACACACCACACACACACTGCACAAACTAAAGCTCAAACCACACCTGCAAACATGAATCACACACACTGTACATACCATAACCAGACATGCACACACATCACATGCACACATATGCCATACATACACATGCCACATGCATAAATATACCATATACACATGTATACACATACCACATACTCACTCACCACATATACCACACACATAATACACAATGCTTATCCACATACACGTATACCACACACACGGCCACACACACTGCTCCTATTCCCCATAGTGAGGTCTGGAGTCCCAGCCTTCAGCCAGGAAGTAGCTTTCCTGCTCCGTGGGGCTCTCCCCTGGCAAAAGCCACTTGTCTGGGACTCACCGGGATAGGAAGGGCCACCACACTTCAGGGAGCAGTACCTGATCAGGGGCTGCTGCAGTGCCACCAGGGCGGCGTGGACCGTCACGGAGATCACTGACAGGTGGAAGTAGTCGAACATGACAGGGACCTGGTGGTGCAGGCCCCTCCGCGGGTGGAAGTGCAGCCCCAGCGAACGGCTGCTGACGACAGGCGCCCCCGCCACGTCCCGCAGTCTGCAAGGGAAGCATGGAGCTCGCGTTAGTGCCCATGGTGGTTCCTGCCCTCTGGGTGATGGTACCACAGCCTCGCTGTGGGCCAAATGCCTTACATGCAGCAGGCTGTTTACCCTGCAGGTGCTCAGTCTAGAAGAAACCCATTTCCCAGGACTGCAGATGAAGGGGCTGAGGTTCAGAGTGGGCAAAGACTCTGCTAGATGTCACACAGCTGCTATATGACAGGCCTGCGCCCCCCTCCACTGTCACTGTCACCATCACCAAACTTCACATCTGTGACGAACAAGGCCTTTCTCATGGCTCCTCTCCCACTGTAGCTTCCAATATCCCCCCAGTCCCTCAGCGCTGCACTAAGACACCGCGTGGCCTTTGTAAGTCTGCCTTCTCTTTAAGAGATCTGCTGCTTAAGGGCAAGAACTGTGACCCCATCACCTGGCACAGGATCAGGCACCATGTAGAATTTGGCCCAATGCTCGCTCACTGAAGCGAACAGCTGACTAAATGAATGACTCTTGTTACAGACTGAACTGTGTCTCCATGATAAAGATACAGTCAAGTGCTAACCATGGTCTATGTGAACCTGAACCCTGGTCCATGTGAACCTAAACTTGTTGGGAAAGAAAGTCTGTGATGACATTAGCTGTTAGCACAAGCTCACACTACACCAGGCCAGTTCTTCATTGGATCCGAGTGGTGTCTTTATAGGAGAACCACAGAGGACACAACCATGTGAAGATTAATCTAGAAGCCTGGAACCACCAGAGCTGCCAACGGCAGGAAAGAATCCTCCTCTTGAAACTCTGGAAAGAACACGGCCAGCCCGACACGTTGGTTTGGACTTCCAGCTTCCAGAACTGTGTGATCCTAAATTCCTGCTCTTATAAGTCCCTCCTCGTGCTTCTTCATTACAACAGCCCTGGGAGACTCTCATGCCCCCAAAACACAATGCTAACCAGTGTGCCCAGTTTGCACTGACTCTTGACCCCTGCCTCTGCTCTAGCATTCTGATTCCAGAACATGCTTGATTCCTAAGAGATAAACCAATGCACAGGCAAGACCCAACCACAGGGTCCCTGGTGATAAAAAAAAAAAAAAAAAGAATTAATTATTCGTCAGATCAAAGCCAGCCAGGCGAGGGCTGGGTCCTAATTTCCAGCCTGAAAAACAACCACCCAGACCCTGCAAGGTTCTCTGAGGCACAGGGAGCAGGAAAGCGAGCTGAGCATCTTCAGACAGGATGGCAGAGACTCAGAGAACATTTCAGAGAAGGTGTCTCCTTCCTCTGGGGACAGAGGCACAGAATGTGGAAGGTGAGGGGAGTGGTCTCCCAAGACCTAGCCCAACAGGCTTTGCTTCCTTGAAACCCTTGTTGCTTATAGGTTGGGTACAAATGAATAATCCAAGGGAAGGTCATCTACTGTACTGGAGCTGCTACAACTCCTGGGGAGACCAGGACAGAATAGGATGGGGAAGCAGAGAGTGGGGCAGCAGACACCCCACAAGGCTCAGAAAGCTGTAACATGGGTATCCACTTAAATTCTGAAAACAATTTATTGAGGCCTTCCTATGACCCAAACACAATGCTTACATGGCAATCACACAAAATCTTTTGGTGCTGTTCCATTTACAAGGAGCTCTGGGGGGGACACTGGTTAAGGTGTTTAGCTGCCTACCCAAAGGCAGTAGTTCGAACCCATCAACTGCTCCATGGAAGAAAAATGAGGCAGTCTGCTTCCATAAAGATTTACAGCCCTGGCAACCCAATGGGGATCACTGTAAGTCGGAACCAACTCGATGGCAGCGAGTTTGGTTTTTTGGTTTATTCCATTTGCAGATGGGGAAGCAGGGCCAACATGAGTCAATTCACAGTCATGGGTGAAGCTCAAGTGCTAGACTCAGGTTTATCAGACCCCATGGTCTTTTCTCGCCTACTGCAGGATAGTACCTAGACTCTGTTCAGACACAGGCAGGTATGTATCACAGGGTTAGTCTTAAAGCCTGACCAATGGTGGTAAAATGCATGCCCGGCTAGCAAAGATGCCAAGGACATTAATGAGAATTTAGGTCAGGTTAACAGGAATAAAGACTTAAGGAAGAGGGAGGTGATAATTCTTTACTCTGAAATGGGGAGAACCCATGAAAGCAGATGACAGCTCGTAGGAGTCAAAGTTAGAAAAGACAGGGATAAGCTGGATAGAATTGAAAGGCAGAATGCCTGGTTCTTATAAAGGAAATAAAAACAATGAAGCATGCAAAGACACACAGAGGAAGAGCCTCCCCTGGAGGTGACGAGATGACCTCTTCTGTATGTGCTTTAGAGGCAAGTTTATAGAGCAGTTTGTTTTAGATTCAACATTTCATGTACATTTGGTTTCACTCCCCAGTTACCATCCCCAACCCTAACCCGCTCTCCTCCCCTCCCTGCCCAGTACCCCCCACCCTGCCCCTCATAGGTATGCACTCCTGTGTCTCCTCTGTGGGAATGTTGCCCCTCTGGGGCCCTGGTGCATATCCATGGAGTATGTGGGTGTGTCACCCTGGGTTGAGTGGTCTGTACGTCTTGTTTACTATTAGGCTGAGTCAGCTCCTGGGAGTGACTTTTATTCCAGGCCCAAAGTATATCCCAGGGCCATAGTATTGAGGGTCCCACCCAACTCTATCTGACCAGTTATTCTGGTCATTATTGTGTTTTTGGATTTTGTTCCACATTTTCCCTCCTATTATATCCAGGATCTCGCATTTTGATCCCTTCCTGAGTGGTTGGCATTGGTAGCTGGGCACCATCTAGTTCTGCCCTCAAGGTTCATCATGTCCTAGGGCTGATTGCTTCCAAATGCCCCTGGTTTTTTGCACTCTTCTTCGCTTCTGATGATAGGAAACCATTAGCTGCATCTTAAAGGGCTGCTTGAAAGCTTTTGACACCAGTCGCTACTCACTGATGTAGGTTGTGGAACAAGATTTTTATGTATTCTGTTGTGCCAATTGAGTCTGGTGTTCCCCAGTACTATGGTCCTGAGTGGGTAGATCCATTGGATGTCTCTCCCACAGTGTCTGGCTGTCTCTGAGGGATTGTTCTATGCCTGTCTTCTGTTGTTTCTGTAAGGATTGTGGGTATTTTTGTATCATTGGTATTTGTGCAGGATTAGCCTCAGTTGAATATTTCATTGGTCTAGAGTATAATTCTGTTCACTGACCCCATCTAATCTCAGATGTTTATGTGCTTATATGTAGCCTGGTGTTGGTGGTACTGGTAATGTGGATATACTGGTA